TTTAAATATGGAAAGCCCAAGCACCAAACGATCAAATTTGAAAACCACGATTCAGGCATCTTTTCGTGCCTCCGTACCCATTTAGAGGGGGTGCTTGACTCCTCAAGTTACCCTTTTTGCGAACCAAAAGTGCTTTTTATTGACGCTAGAAACCACTTACGTTTAGTCTAAACAAAAGTGTTTTCTAGGGCCTTAAAAGTAGAGTTAGAGAGGGACCTACACCCTCTATCCACCGCACCGCACCGCACCAATCTTGTCATGATTCCTAAACGGAAGGAGTTTATATGAGTGCAAGGCTCTAAATAATTAAATTAGAGCGAATATAAAAAATCTTCGGAAGATGTTGTTTTGATGCTCAAATATCCTCAAATTAATCATCTCGATCTCAATATGCATGGAAATGAGAAAAAAAAATGGATTTAAATTTTGAAAATCGTGCATCTTGTAATGCATTGTGGACCATAAATTTTCAAGATTTTCAAGTTTTTTTATAGATATGCTCGATATACACTATTTTTTAAGCTTTAAATTTTATAATTAGAGATGAAAATATATTTCAAGGCTATCATAAATATTTCATGTATTGAACCCACATTTCTTGATACTATTTGAAGGAATTTCTAGTATTAAAACCACATTTCTCAAACTATTTGAAAGAGCGCTTTACCTTGATTGTTTAGAACCTCGCCTCTATACAAACCGTATCATTTATTTAAATATAATAAAACCTGGCAAGAGAGAAAAAAACCCTTTGTTTGAACCTTATGTTTACTGTCACCCATATTCACCTCTCAAAGGTATACCGTTGAGTCTCTCAATCATTGATTGGGATCTCAAAGGTGATTGAGAATGTGCATTATCGATATCAAACTGCACCTGAAATATCAACTATTTAGTAAGTTACTCTGTCATCAAAATGTATTTATATGAATTTTGGGGAAAAATTCCTTTGAAGGAGACTCTGAATTGGCAAATAATTTTGTAAGTTATTTTAAATTCTCGGAGTGTCTATAATCCTACGATCAATTTAAAAACAAAACTAGAGCTCAAAAAATGCTCCAAATTAGGACTTGATAGCGAATCATTCATTTGATGACAATTTATCTAGATCTTTTTTTGAGTTTCATAAGAGGGAAAAATTTCCTTTTATGTGGTGACATGATGCAAAAATGGGTTTGTGCATTGTATTTCTTTTATATTTATACACAAACCTATAAAATGAAACCATCACGTGCAAGTGGCATTGAAGATTATAAAAATAAAAAATAGAAAATTTTGAGTTAGAAAGATTCATTTTATAGCATTTAGTTCCATGTCGAGCGTAAAATGATTGTAATGAACAAGAAACACCTGGACATTTCACAATATTTTACTTGTTTTCAATAAAATAATGAAAAAGTGTAATGCAATACTTCTAACCAAATATGACAAAACCAATCAAACAAAAAATAGTACTTCTCGATGATTTGTTTGAAATATGAAGAACAGGGAATTGGAATGGATCAATTTGTCTAGAAGGGTTTAGGACAATGAGCAGTGTGAATTAATTTATGAGAATGGATAAGAAGATGGAGTTCATACGATGGTGCAGTCTGAGTGTACAGCACTTAGCACCTTACTTTTGATAGTTTATTTTAATTTTGATGCATCAAAATATACCAGTGGTGTTCATCATCATCTGAAAAAATAAACCATTCTTTTTCCTCCAATGGTGTAGGAGAGCGTGGGTATTGTGTATTCTTCTTTCTCTCTTCACTTTTTAGGAACATTTGCCATTTGAAAATCGGAATCAGACCCGGTATTCCACTGATCCAATGGGAAAGGTTAAAAAAGTAGCAAGAAAATAAAAAAAAAATAGTTTGAAGTAGTCCACCTCTTAGTGCTGATTAACAATCGCATTAGTGATTTTTAATCTTAAAAAGGTGTGAAAAACTGCACGAGAATCTCATTTTATTTTTGAAATATGACGTTAGTTCCTTGTATTTCACAAATACCATTGAAGTCCCTCTTTTTATGAACATAATTTTATTTTTCTTATGTATTAAATATTTGATAAATATAAATTTGAAGCGACCATACTTTTCACTATCATATAGTTGTAAGAAATATATAAAAAATCAAAATAACCAAAAGATCCTTATTGTTTTCGTAATTTTATTTCTTTGAATTAATTTATTATATTAATCATTAGGCGCATGACATTGACAAATATTTATGCCCCACATTTAAGCTTAAATATATATTTGTCATGCGCCTAATATTTGTCAATGTCATGCTCTAAAATTTAAATATATTAGATGCTCTAAAATTTAAATTTAAATTTAAATATATTATATGTGGTGACATGATGCAAAAATGGGTTTGTGCATTGTATTTCTTTTATATTTATACACAAACCTATAAAATGAAACCATCACGTGCAAGTGGCATTGAAGATTATAAAAATAAAAAATAGAAAATTTTGAGTTAGAAAGATTCATTTTATAGCATTTAGTTCCATTTTGAGCGTAAAATGATTGTAATGAACAAGAAACACCTGGACATTTCACAATATTTTACTTGTTTTCAATAAAATAATGAAAAAGTATAATGCAATATTTCTAACCAAATATGACAAAACCAATCAAACAAAATATAGTACTTCTCGATGATTTGTTTGAAATATGAAGAACAGGGAATTGGAATGGATCAATTTGTCTAGAAGGGTTTAAGGACAATGAGCAGTGTGAATTAATTTATGAGAATGGATAAGAAGATGGAGTTTATACGATGGTGCAGTCTGAGTGTACAGCACTTAGCACCTTACTTTTGATGGTTTGTTTTAATTTTGATGCATCAAAATATACCAGTGGTATTCATCATCATCTGAAAAAATAAATCATTCTTTTTCCTCCAATGGTGTAGGAGAGCGTGGGTATTGTGTATTCTTCTTTCTCTCTTCACTTTTTAGGAACATTTGCCATTTGAAAATCGGAATCAGACCCGGTATGCCACTGATCCGATGGGAAAGGTTAAAAAAGTAGCAAGAAAATAAAAAAAAAAGAGTTTGAAGTAGTCCACCTCTTAGTGCTGATTAACAAACGCATTAGTGATTTTTAATCTTAAATTGATGTCGCCCTTCTAAGGTGAACCACGTAAACTTGAAAAAGAGATAAGTCCCAAGATCCATTGATAATAACGATCAAGTATATCTCAATAAGTTCGATGCATATTTCAAGCATATGGAATAAAGCGACAGTTGCCGGTGCACATACACCACGCGGACAAGAAGAGTAGGCATCTTGTCGGTTCAATGTGGATGTTTTTTTTTGTTTAGTTAAAAGATTTAGTTCATTAATTGGCCAAAAAAAAAACGATTTAGTTGATTTAAGATGTTACCACATATTCTAGGACCCTTATGATTGAGGCAAGTAATAGTCAGTTCATCTCTATAGAGTATGTATCAACGTTCAAAAAATCGAATTGGGGTTTAAGTAACCGGTATAAAAAGTATATTTAAAGACTGAATAAATAAAGCACATCCAAATGAAGCTGAAAAATAGTGAAAAATAATAAATTTTAAAAAAATCAATTTATACTTAAAGGTATTTTCAAAGTTTTTCAAAAATAGATGGGATAATGTAAAAATAAGTATTTACAGCCAAAACACTTTCCAATCTTTGACAAAATGATAAAAAATGGTTTTGGGATTTTATGTTTGATATTTTTTAATTTGTTTAAATACCTTGCCGGACTACCAAAAACCGGATAAAACCAAATCGTCCAGTATCCGATTCCAATTTGACCAGTCAGTTCCGAGTTGAAGCAGCCGAGTTTGCAAACACTGATATAAACAAAGAGGATCCATGCAATGTTGATTGTGCATAGAACGTCTTCTCTCTTGGTGCATTTAGTCTTTCTCTCTCTAAAATTTGGGAGAGCTGATTCCATTGTGGGTTCATCTCTAATTGTTTGGGGTCATCTATGCAGTTTCATCTCTAATTCTTTGGGACTTTGGGGGGTCATCTATGTTGTTTCAAGCTAGATAAAGCTTTCTCTTTCTAAACCAAGATCGTGCTTTCTCTCTCTAGATCAACATTGCGGTCGTGTGCAGTAGATCGTGTTGGGTACGAACATCAGCGGTGATGTGATCACTGGGCATCCGTGGTGTCGTTCGTTGGTCGGGTCTTTATCCCTCCTTGCCCGCTGTCCGACTACGCAACAACTCTTTCACCTTACACCTCCCTTTCCTTATTGAGTCAATTACATACGGTAAAAAAAATATTAAAATGCGAAATAAGCGTTTTTGAGGTAAAATTACGCGGGAGGTCCATTGATATATTTTTTTTTTTTTTTTTTTTTTTTACTAAAATTGCTCTTCTGTCCCGAAATGGTATCCTTGTACCTCTTTTTTTTTTAATTGTTTTATAAAATGACTGTGCCTTAATATTTGGAGCAGCGTCCAGTCGGTCTGATGTTAGCATCATCGGACCTCTTTCTGTAGTGTCCTTCAAAGCGATATTAGGTTGGTATTTTCGGATACCGACTTTGTTAATTATTCAGAGGCTATCCATGCTTCCCGTTCTTGAGCCGCCTTCAGAAATGCATCAGCGGTGATGTGATCACTAGATTCTTATTTATATACCTCATTAGCTCATTTGTTTGTTGAGAAATAAGGAGGTCCAAAGATGCAACCTGATAAGGAAAAAACTAAAAAGCAAACATGTCTGAAGATGGTTTGAACGGTAATTTAAAATAATAATAATAATAATGAGACCTTGTGCATAATTTTCACTCAAAATTAGCCCATTTCATATTTTTTATTGTTTTCTATATCCATACATAAATTTTTCTTTTTTTAAACCTTTTATTGGGCCAGCATGCAAGTGGAATTCAAACGGAGCAGCCACTCCTCGACCTCCTCCCGGGTTTACATCTCTCCTCCACCTCACCCCAGGCTTTTATCTATCTTATAAAGGACCCCAACCCTTCTAAGCATCAACATCTCTCTCTCTTTGTAATGGAAATGGACCCAACCTCTTCAGTGCACCAGCATCCCAAAACCGTGAGTAGTTTGGAACCAGATGAAGAAGCTCAACAACACCAAGAAATTCACTATGCAAAAGGCACCACGTTCTCCAAGACTTGCTTCAATATGCTCAATGCTTTATCCGGTTTCTTTCTCTCTCTCTATCTACATGTGTGTGGTGGTGGTCATCTTTTTCTTAGGCTGCTAGACTGTTCTGTTCTCTTAAGCTGTGAAGTACTAAAACTTAATATTTCTTATGCTTTTTCCTCTTTAAGGATTTGCAAAAAGAAACAACTTTTAAGGCTTCTAGTCCATGTTCTTTCCTTCTTTGTCCATCGTCCGTTGCATACATAAAATTATTCTTTTTCCCTCTTGGGTGTTTTGGGGATTAAAGCTGATTTTGAATTGACTTCTTCTTTTTTGCTATAGTTTACTGGTATCTCATGGAATGTTCATGCTTCTACCACACAGAATAAAGTGTGCACATGCTACACACCGATATTTTTTATCTGGGTACCAGCTTGTTTGGACTACTGGTTCAGTCCGAATCGGAAATCGCTGGAGCTGGATAGAGCGAGGAGGATGGCCATTCATGGCCAAGAACCTCGTAAACATCCAAGTCTTTCGATTTTCTAGTATTTCTTAAATTCTTCCGGTTTCGACTTTGATTTTAACTATTTCCTGTTTCAACTTTGTTTCACTTGGGTTGGACTGATGAACCGAAATTCAACCATGCACATTGGAACCTTATTCAGATTCTTGAATTAGTGTTGTGAACTGCTTTGTGCAGATTAGCGTTTGAAAAAATTGAACCGGCCTCGGAACCTGGCAAGGGTTGGTTTTGAGTAACCAGCAAACCAACCAGTTCAACCGGCCTAACAAGGAAGTCCCAACAAGTAAAAACAATATTAAAAAAAATACAAAAAATCTAAAATAAATTGAAAAGTGTATTTAAAGCATGATTAAACAAAGTACATCCAAATGATGCCGAAAATTAGTGAAAAAAATAGATTTTAAAATTAAAATTTTAAAAAATTGATTTGTGCCTAGCACATTTTTAAAAATGTTAAAAAATGATAGAAAAATATAAAAATAAGTAATCATGACCAAAACACTTTCTAATCTTTACAAAAATGATAAAAAAAACATTTAAAAACGCATTACACCCATCTCATATTTTTTGAGATTTTATATAATTTTTTGTATTTTTTTTAAAAATACTCTACCAGATCACCAAAACCGAAACCTGCAAGCCGGGTGATGTTGCAAACATTGGTGTGACCAACTAAAACCAATTGTTTCAATTGTAGAATTCTATGAAGACAAACTTTTTGCTTGTATTGAAAAATTCACGATAGGAAAGAAGGCACTTCCGGAAGAAGTAGAGACATCAAATCAAGTTCATATAATTGATCTTTCATGAGGTCCATATGGAGACAAAACAAAGTAGTGGTGTAAAGACCTTTAAAAATAATCATATAGCGATTCCTTTATGTATTAATTGCGTTTGGTTTTCTGCTTTGTAGCATTTGTACGAACAATTGTGAGGCCCCGAATCTTATCTTTTGATTTCCAAATCTGCCTTATTCCGTGTCATCCAATGATTTTGCCTTCGTGTTATTTTTAGTGGACGAATCTTTGCCCAGAATTTCCCCTCTAGGGGTGGCAACGGGTTGGGTCCGGCTGGACCCGGACCCGGACTCGAATAGTACTAGAGTCCAGGTTTTGGACCTGGATCTGACCTTTCGGGTAAAAAATTTGGATTGATACTTGGACCCGAGGTCAAGTCTTAAGTTTGGTCAAGTCCATTCCCATCTTATGATTATGAGCTACTTTACTTTTTATCTTTTTTACCCTTATTCTACCATCTTATACTCATATTATTGACAACATTTATAGTATTGCACAACAGTTATGATTACTGCACAACATTTATGATTACTGACATTCCCTACTATTTTACGAAATAATTGGAAATTCCTAAAAAACAAACCTATTGGCAACATTAATGAATATCCACATACTGGTCAGGTCCAACTGCACCTGAACATGATGGCAAATAGTATTCGGGTCCAGCTTTTGGACTCGGACCAGACCTTTCAAGTCCAAAATTTGGACCCATACTCGGACTCGAGGTTGGGTCTACCCATCGGCTCTCGGGTCTGGTCTTCCTCTTTCTCTCACTCAAGGTTGGCAAAGGGTTGGGTCTACGCAATAGGTCAAGCGGACCCAAGACTGGGTCTAGACACAAAGGTTGTCCCTAGCAGGTTGGATCCAGTTATGTACTCGTGAGTGAAAGGCAATAGTGGTCTTGAGTTTGGGCCGAAGGGCTATTGACCGTTTGGATAAAAAATTTGATGGTTGAGTGTGTATAAGAATATTTTAGTGTTTTGAAATATGACCTGGACAAAGTACTCGGACCTTGGCCAAGGCGAGTCGAATAACTAACGTGAGTCCAGTTTTTTTAAAAATGAAAAATATTTAAAGCTTATGTAGATATACTTTAGATAACATTTTTGAATGGGGTATAGTGGCGGACCGGTGCCTTCCCTGTGTGTATTGATGAGAGTTCGGTTCTGCCATCATCGTCAAAGGATTTTTAAAGCCCACCGAGTGGGTTAAAAAAAAAAAACGTGTGCGCTGACCATTATGCCACTCAATATTTTATTATCTTAGGAATTTTATAAACTTCATATTTACGGTGTACATAGTACTCGGTCAAGATTCGCCTTGCCCATAGGGAGAGGCCGAATAACTCGGCCGAATCCGAGTTATCTTGATTGAATTTCGAAACAGCAATAATTTAAGGAAAAAGTTTATATAAGGATGCTACTTTATAATTTAGAACTACGGATGCCCTTAAAAAATCTATCGAAAAATGTAGTTTTAATGTTGAAAAACCCTTTGATTGATTATCTCGACATCGAGATGTATGATTATGAAAAATGAAAAGATTTTAAGTCTAAAAAATAGTACATTTTACAACATATCATCTACACTGTCCATTTTCAAGATTTTCATATATTTATAAATTTACTTGATTTTAACTATTTTTGAAATTTAAAATTTTATAAATTGATATAAAAATAGATTTTGAGATAATCCTAAAAATATTTTACATCAAAATTATAGACCATGATAAAATTTGAAAGGCACCTTTCCTCTGCACTTACGGAGGCGTCCGTATGCAAACTGCACCCATATTTTAATTTTGTCCATAAATTAGATCTGGGCTTGTGTACATCACACCACGACACACCCAACAAAAATATAAAATAATATTTTACATATTGTAAAATGACGAAACTACCGTAGAATGTCATTAGGGATATTTGTCCATTTTTAATTAGATAAGGTATTTTTGTTATGTTTTTACAGGGTGCCTAAGGCACAGATGCACCTACTCTCCAAATTTCAGAGCAAACAAATGTTTAGAGAAAAGGTAAAAATTCGTAGCCCAAAATACACTCGACCATCCGATAAAAATTGGGTGGTTGAAAGACTTTTAACCCATGAGCTCAATCAATCTAGCATTTGACTCGTGGTCGTTTGGTAGCAGCTGTCGCCCCCTATATATATATACTTATGTGAGCTCATGGGCTCATAGAACAGTATAAAGTATAAACCCAACGGCCTAGATTGAATCTGGATCTATCCAATGATTACAATTGTGTTTCATAATTAAATTTTAATTTTTTTCTATAAATCTAAATTAGTTGAAATTTGGAGTGTTTATACTTCAAGAATAATAGAATCTAATTTAAAAATAAAATTCACATAAATTAAATTGATCAAAATACCCCTAAAATTTTGGTCAATTTATTTATGTAAATTATTATTTTTAATATTTTTATTAGGTGTGACTTGCTAAGAAGAGTCTACGCTCCAAATTTCATAATATTTGGATTTATATAAAATATTTTAAAATTATATTACATATATATAGTTCTAATTGTCAGATCGGCCCAGATTGGCGGTCATGATCTCATTTCGTATTTGAAATTTAATTTTTTTCTAAAAATCTAAATAATTTTAAATTTTAAACGTGTATTCTTAAAAAATAATAGAATTTGATTGAAACATATCAAAAAAATAATTTGTAAAAAATAATTTGTAAAAAATAATTTGACCAAAATACCCTTGAAAAGTTTCAGGGGTATTTTGGTCAATTAATTTTTATGAATTATTTTTAAAATATTTTTATTAGATGTGCCTTGAAGAGAAGAATGGACTCCCAAAATTTCAACTAATTTGGATTTGTAGAAAAAACATTAAAATTAATATACGAAATGAGGTCGTGACCATCAGATAAACCCAGATTCTGGGTCATTGTGTTCATATGTTCATATGAGCTAGTGGGCTAATCTCAGCATTTTCCATATATATATATATATATAATTGGTTGGTTGAAAGAATTTTAGACAATGAGCTCAATCAATGTAGCATTTCACTCATGGGCATTTGGTAGCAGTTCTCGCTCCCCATATATATATATAGATGAAAATTGTTTCATGTAGGCTGGAACGCATTTCTACATATGCGGTTCAGAAGTGTAAAGCAGCCATCTTAAAGATGGCTGCAAGCAGGTGGTCCATCTAAAAACAATAGAAACTAACGGTCAAAATGTTTATTATTTTTAATTTTTAAAATTTATTTTATTTTTTCATATCCATGATCTCCATATTAGATATTACTTCTTTAAAAATTAAATCCAAAAATCCATATGAAAAATAGATTTTTAAGAGGCACCACATTTCTACCTGGGCAGGCTTAGCCACACGAGTTGGCAGGTTTTTGTCCAATGACTTGGGCCCCACCTGGGTACGGGTTGAGTCTGGTCCAACTAGGACCCAGACAAGAACCCGACCCCTTTACACCCCTTACTCTCTCTCCCTCTCCTAATTTCTCACTCTTCTCCTAATTTCTCACATTTTTGGGACCACAGGAGTTGGGGTCGTTGTCATTCCATATGGATTATCACAAGGTGGCTGGGCAGGCTTGGGATTTCTTGGGCTACTAGCTATCATTTCCTACTACACATGCTTACTCCTTCAACGTTGCATGAACATGGACCCTCACATCAAATGCTACCCAGACATAGGCAATCTTGCCTTTGGTCCCAAAGGCAAAATCATCATCTCTACATTTATCTATCTTCAACTATTCTTACTTGACATAAGTTTCTTGATATTAGTAGGTGACAGTTTAGCTAAATTGTACCCTGAGTTTGGCTACAAAATTGGCGCTCGGAGATTAGACGGAAGCAAGGCATTTATTATTTTATCAGCTATGGTTGTTCTCCCAATTGCTTGGCTAAAAAGCTTGAGGAGACTGGCCTATGTGTCAGCAATTGGGGCTTTTGCTTGTGTGGTTGTGATAGGTGCAGTTATATGGGTTGGTCTATTTGGTGGGGTTGGGTTTCATGACAAAGGAAGCCTCATTAATTTAAGTGGAATACCAATGGCAACTAGCATTTTTGCTTTGTGTTTCAATGGGCATGCAGGTCTCCCTACCGTCATTGGGGCAATGAAAGATAGAAGCATGGGTCCAAAGGTATGTATGTGAGTTTTATCTTGAGCATGAAACCTATGGTCTAGAATCAAGTATCAACACCTTGGATATAAGGGTGGCAATGGCCCAAATGTGGGCAGGGGCATGGCTCACTCGAACCAGCCCAGGACCCAAGCTAGGTGGCCCAACCCGGTCTATTGATGGGGTTGAGCCAGGCTAGGTTTAGTAAATATTATTTATCTATTTCTTAATTTGTAAGGAAAAATAAAGCAATGGTAATGCCGGGTTGGGCTTGGCGAGCTAAGACCCGTCTCTTGGCCCATCCCTAGCCCAAACACCATACCTAGATTTTTAGGCATGGATTTTGGCAGTCAGGCTAAACTTAGTGGCCCAGGCACAGGTTGTTTCGGGCTAGGCCGCCCCACCCGCTACTACCACTAGATATAAGAAGGGGGTTGAGGGTGGGAATTTGAAGTTTGCTATAGTATTCTATACCATCATTTTGTGTTTACTAAAATTTCTTAGCACTCCAACCACTAGATTTCATCAAAGGGTGGATATGGCTTGTTTCTCTAATAGAGTTTGGGAAGAGTTCTATTTGTTATTTATTGTGCGCAGAAGCTCTATACCTGATGGGTTGATTTTTTGGTAAATAAAATACATAAAATAAAGCATGAAACACGTGCCACAAGAACACAAAGATTTACGTGATTCACCTTAGAAGGACTACATCCAAGGGCACGACAAACTGAAATCCAGTATACCAATGAAAGTTACATCACATATTTTGAAACAAATCTCAATTAAAACATAGTCGAACAAACCCTTTTAAACCGCTCTCTCTTCCTTTTCTTTACTTCTGGCAACCATTACCCACAACGCCAGATAAAGACCCAAGAGAAATTAACTTTCTCTTTAATTAAAAAGGGAAACATCCCAAAATCTCTATGGGCGTGTTTGATAAGTGGAAGTTTTTGAAAATAGGAATTAAATGTCCCACTTCCATATTTGATATTACTGTGTGGAAGCTATAAAGTGGAAGGGCGACCTTCCGTGCAGCTTTTTGTAGTGTTAAAATTGGTTCATTTTTGGAAGACCTCTCTTCCATAAAAAATGATGGAAGAGCAATCTTCCATAATTTGTGGGAGAGTCCCTTCTACTTCCAAAAACTCCATGTGTAAAACACAACCTATGGGAACCGTTTTTCTACAAGAAACAAGCCTCTCAATCTACATGAACAAGCCTTCAATTTTCAAGAGTCTATAAGATGTACCATCAATGTTTCTATCCATAAGAAGCTCTCTTTCTCTAAGAGGATCTTGCATCTTATGCATACGAGAAGCGGAATATTGCATCTTATGTATATGAGGCCCTGCCCCCCCACTTTCTAGAAGAAATCACCATTCTCAAATGATGTCCCAAATAGGGCACACAAATTATATGTACTTTCATCCCAAATATATATAATATTAAGAGTTCATACTAAATAGGAAACTTCCTATAGATATTACATATATCTCAAAACTTTGAGATATATCAAAAAATCCTAATCTTTTTTAGATTTCTATTTCTCTTAAGAAACTTATCAAATATCAATCCCACATAATACGAAAATATCTCAATCCCACACAATATGAGAATATCTCAATCCTACATAATATGTAAATTTCTAATGTCGATGATTTTATATAGCACCAAATCCAACATTATTGATATCTAATGATTGGGTTTTTGTGCTTCAAGTGACTACATAGAATACTTTTCCATATCAGTCTAACAAGTAGATATGGAAAATCATACCATGAACATATCATGTATTATTAGGTTATTATGTATGATACATGCCGTCTCTATCATAATCCATACTCAAGAGTAGATGATCGAGATGAACCATTCTTCTGGTCAAGTCTACCATAGTCCACTCACGCATCTATTGTGATGTACTATTCCTATTGAAGGATTTACAAAACTGTGTAACACTTGAGGCCCATTTCAGTAGAGGCTCTCATGGTCGCCAAAGGTTTTGTTTTCGAAACCGTACAACTACGGTCCATGATAAAGTTAAATGGATTTCCGAAACTCCTAACCCTTTTTGTATTCTTTGGTTGCAGGCACTGGCCATTTCCTTCATCACTTGTTCCACGGCTTATGCACTGATGTCGGTCCTCAGTTACCTAATGTTTGGAGACCAAATAAAATCACAAATCACGCAAAATCTCCCAATTAAAAATATTAGCTCCAAGATTGCAATTTATGTTGCTGCTATACTTCCATTGTTAAAATATGCACTAGTCATGGCTCCGGTCGTAGCTGCCATCGAAGAGAGTTTTTCTCTTTGCAGGAAGAGGGTGGTGAATTTATTATTGAGGACCACGATGGTGGCTCTCACAGTCATAATTGCTCTGACATTTCCTTTTTTCGGGGATATGATGGCATTTATCGGATCGTTTCTTGGCGGCACCGTTGCTCTAATTCTACCATGCATTTGCTACCTGAAGATCTTTAAAGGCACAAAGAGTTGCATGGTTGAGAAAGCTATGGTGATGGGGATTTTGATGTTGGGTTTTTGCATGGCAACTATTGGGACTTATTTCTCTCTAAAGCGCATGCTGCAGAAAATGTAAATTCTTGATGATATAATTCATGTAATTTAATTGCTAGGGTAAATTAAAGCCTTTGTCTTTTCATCATGAGCAAAATTGAAGATAGCATCATGTATGAATTCATTTAGGCTTGTGTCTCCTACACCTATGTTACCTGACACTCCATTCCTACTGCTGTTCAAAGAATAAGAGGAGCTAGTTGAATGCAGTCCATGTGTACAGTACGTAGCACCTATTTGTAGAGGATTATGATAGTTTTCTCTAAGAGGGAGATACTACAAAATTTTGATGGATGATAATAATGTTTTCATCATCATGAGTGGAAAACCTTCTTCTTGAGTGGGCGAGTGGGTGGATGTTTAGGACGTGCGACCATGTTTTCAAGAATTCTATTTCCAACCTATTTGAAATCTTTGTGATAGTCTTAAAATATCTTTTTATATTTATTTATAAAATATAAAGCTTCAAAAATATTGTAGGTCGACAGATCTATGAAAATTTGAAAATCTTGAAAATCAACGGTCAAAACATACGTTACAAAATACATTAATTCCAAAACTTGAAATCCATTTTTTTCTCTCGGCCATGCTTCTTGATTTCGAGATGATCAATTTAAAGATATTTGAATATCAAAACAACATCTTCTAGTGAAATTTTTGAGATAGGGTCAAATTTGATTGTTTAGAGCCTCAGCTCTATATAAACTTTTCCCTTTATAATATGACATTAATTTTAAGATTTGAAATCCATTTTTTCATATTTATACATCAATTGGAGATGATCAATTGGAGGTCAAAACAATCTTTTCCAGTAGGTTTTTGAAGTGTGCCTGGCTTTTGCCATGTAAGATATAAAGTTGATTCTTTGTATAAATTTTTTTTTCTGAAAAATTTTGGACACTTATACATCTTTATTTTGTAATACGATATTCTTGTAGTAAGCGTATTTTTGGTAAGTGAGATTCAACCTTGTAAGTGAGATTCAACCTAGAAGGTAGTCTATTGAACAAATCCATTCAATATCATCAATTGTTGGAAGAGATGGTTGTATATTGAACAAATCTATTCAAAGTTGACCCATTGATTTTTTGGTAAATAAATTACAAGAAAAATAGAACTGGCAACAAGCATAAAAAATAAAGTAGGAAGTAAATAATACAAAAAAAAGCAATAGAATTTATATAGTTCGTTATAGATGTGACTACATCATGGGTGAAGGCAATCAATGTTTTTGCCTTAATTCAAAGTTTTATCTTTCCCAAATCATGGACCTCTATGACTATCCTAATCCAAATACAACTTTGTTTATGCTAAAAAATTTATGCAGAGATTGCATCTCCACCTCGCTTTTTGGCGTAAACTTGTCAAAAGGAGGTTCGGTAGAGAATAAGCCCCATTAAATTATGATTGATTCAGGAGAGAGATTGTCCACGATACCGCACTTGCTCGGATCACCTCAATACCAGCTCCTAATAATGTTAAACGAAAAGAAAATTACGAAATCAGGGTTACGAGAAGAGCTCTCTTTCCTTTCTTTCTAGCATTCTCACTAAGTGTTGGGCAAGTAAGCTGAATCGGCCTAACATGCTCGCTTGCTTAGAGCTTCAAGTCTTGCTTTTGCTTAAGGTGCCTCGCTTGGTTAGAACTTCAAGTCCGGCTTTCGCTTCAAGCTGTGGCTTAAGGAAAGGATTTTGAAAGGGTTTTAAAAATAGCTGAAAATGAAATTAAAAAAAAAAATAGAGATGTACTCCGGCCCCTAGGCTGGGCAGCCAGAATCGATGCCAATTTAGGATTAGTATGAGTGCGTGACTTTCACCGATGCCTTGGGGGTCCAGCAAATGTAGGTTGATGAATTTGGAGAGTCCAAGAATTCGAGGTTTTATGTATTTGGGCATGCTAGGTCGAGGTATGAAGCTACGAGTTTAGGATTAACGCTGTGTTTAGCAGAGTCCGGTTTCAGTTCAACAGAATATGGGCATAATGTTCGGGATTCCGTCCGAGGGTTCGATCCCTATTTACAAATATTTGTTCACCTTAATTACCGTTTACAATCTTGAGATTAAATCTGGACTGTGAATGCAAAAGCCGCATATTGCGGCCACTACCACCACTGTAATGCTTTTTGCCACCATTTAGGCCTCTATGCACCATACATATGGAATTTGCACTCCGTGTGTAGTGTTTGAAGACTTTGCAAACTCTTGGTATTTCAAGCGCATATGGCAATTGTACTTCAGGAAAATTGTTTGATATATGGAATTTGCACTCCGTGTGTAGTGTTTGAAGACTTTGCAAACTCTTGGTATTTCAAGCGCATATGGCAATTGTACTTCAGGAAAATTGTTTGATGTGGTGGGGACCGCATTTCTGCATTTAAAGTGCCCGAATATAAAGCATCCACCTCAAATATGGATGTAAATAGGTGGTCTATCTAAAAATAATTGAAACTAACGATCTAAATTTTTGTTAATAGAATTATTATTTTTAATTTTCAAAATTTATTTATTTATTTATATTCATGATCTTCATGCTAGAAATCACATGTCCTTAAAAGTTAGCTTAGCTTAAAAAACTCCTTTCTAGATGGACTCATGTAAACCGTTTCCTTGCACTCCATGTAGTGTTGGAATGGTCAAAAGATTTGTGATGAGACCTCGCATTTACTGGCAAGTGCACTCCATGTAGTGTTGGAATAGTGAAAAGATTTGTGATGAGGCTTTTGCATTTACTCTTGGTATTTCAATCGAGTAATTTCAAGAATTGGACTGGCCTGCAGCTTAGTGGCAATTGTCGTAATCACAATATTATTGTTGATACATTTTTATTGGGATATTGATAGATTTTATTGGGATATTATTGTTTGGGTCTTTATTTATCAAAATTTTATAGGTAAGTTAATATGTGAAAGTTCTATTAACTTTTTTGAGTAAGGAATACATATAAATTCCTTATCGGAGCCTATTATTTTGCCCGGTCTTTTAAATTAAACCCCTATTTGGATATTCAAATGAAAATTTGAGTAAGTTTCAAACCTCTTTCAAATATTAAAAAATTAGATGACAAAATTTTTAAAGTAGTATTCCTTAGAAAAAAATGATTAGCTTTTAAAATTTTAAATCCTAAGTTGTATTTGAGGTCTTTAAAAAAGTTAATGTTCACAAATAATAAAATTTTGTTATTTTTTTGGTAACTAGGTTAGTAATTGGAAAGGGATCTTTTATTTGGGTTATTTATTTATTTATTTATTATTCTTCAAAATGTCATATGTTGTTGTCATCTAATGTTATTATCAAGATGATTTCAACAAAAAAAATGTTATTATCAAGCTAACATCAAGATGGCCATTTTATTATGATAAATTCATTTTATCGTGATAAATTATTTTAATGGAGACGATCATACTTGGGTGGTAATTCCCATTATATTTGTCCGGCCATCAAAAGAGTACAGGGAGGCAGTGGAGCTACAAAAATGGGAATGCTAAAACCCATGCTGCCGAATACTTAGTGCAGGCTTATAACATGGATGTTAGTCTGAAAAATATTAATCTCAGAAGTGGTCTTTCAGATACAATCATTCTACTGTCCAACATATATTTATATATACATAGTGAGATTTCAAAAGGTTTCTAACTTGGTTAGACCGGTATTGCATCTTTGGTGTGTCTTCACCAGGGTGCCAATCGGGTTGAGTCGACCAACCAACTGGATAGGTTGATGGGATCCAAATATGGGTCTGGCTTGGGTCGTTTTGACTTGGAATTAACCCGGCTCATTTTTAGCTCCTGGTTCATCTAGGATGTTATATAGGGGTTGACTTGACCAATCCAACCCTGGACTTATATATAAAGAAAAATCGGATGTAGCATTTACAAGGCTATAGAGATAGTCTGATCTGTACGATATGGGATGCCTAGCAGGCGAGTACCTATCAACTATCGGAAAAAAAAGTTAAAAACGGTAAGAAAAAAGTTTAAATAGAGCCGAGGCTCTAAACAATCAAATTCGAACATACCTCAAAAGTAATGCCAATTGGGAATCGGAGGCAATGCTAATTGCTCCCAGGAACGAAGGTAAGTGGCGAAGGCCAATGTAAATGATGAATCCAATTTCGAGTCATGAGATATAGATACTACGAAAGTCATGAGGGTTGTACGTGAGCCAAATAAGTCATTAATTTGGTTAATATTTTGTTCTTAACAGTGGCATTTACAGGAAAGGATTCAATCTTTGTAAGAAATAAAATTTTTGATCGGAATCGAAATCCAACCTAAGGACTCTTAACTTTTTCGTTTGGTAACATAACTAATCACATTTTTACCCGTTTTATGAGTCAATGAGTGCAAGAGCCCGCTTACCCTTCAACATCCATCTTGTGTAATGTGTAAGAGCGTCAAATCAGATATGGATGATGCCAAAAAAATCCCCAAAAAAAAGTACATTTGAAAGTTCAATTTTTTTCCATATTTATGATCAACTTGGCTTAGACAATGGATCCCTAAAATTTTAGATAAAAAATCCATCTTTAAGGTGAAGGTTTCAGGGGACAGAACGTGTACATATGTGTAGGCTAACCCATTGAAATTCCTTCCTATTATTAAATGATCAATATTTTATATATTATAAAATGATATTAATAAAAATTTTAATTGCCGTTTTTTTTTCCTTTGGTAATTTAGTAGGAATGATAACCCCTAACTTTTTTTGAAACTGTTAGTGAGAATAGAAGCCCCGACGTGCAATTGAAATATGGAATATGACCACCAGAACCCTCAACCCCTTTCAATTTTGATATTTAGGCCTAAGTCGGTTGGGTCTCAGAAGATATTTGAAAACTTAGTAATGAATGGTTGGGTAAAACCCAAGCACTGGGAAAAAGTAAAATTGGTTGGAAGATATGCTTAGTGCCACATTCAGGCCTCTTTGCACTATTCATATGGCAATTGCACCCCATGTAGTGTTGGAATGGTGAAAATATATATATGATGAGACTTTTGCATTTCAATGAAGTGATTTCTAACAATCAAGCAACATTTGACTGGCCTCAAGCTTAGTGACAATTGTCGTATTTATGATATTATTGTCGATAGATTTTATTAGGATATTATTGGTTGGGTCTTTGTTTATCATAATTTTATTGGTGAAGTGTTATATGCCTCGGGGGACACACTCCTGTCCAAGGCATAAACCATCCATACCAAAGATGGATGTAAATGGCGACCCCTTCCAAACAAATTGAAATCAATGGTCTAAATATTTGAATCAAAAAATATTTTTTTAGTA